TTTGCAAATGCAGCACACGTAGATGTTTTCCATCTTACGAGTGTTTGCCAAGAAGTTACCAGCTAATGTCTGTCAGGGGAGACTGCCTGCCACTTGTCACTCTGTCATCAAGCTGGGTTTGCAGCATGGTGGAAAATATGTGCCTCTGCTCCTGAGCCCTCCCTAACCCAGTGTGCTGCCTGGGACCTGCTCCCAGAACAAGCCCTCTCAATGATGAGCCTTTGGGATATGCCAAATCACCATGATTTTGCCATGAAAAGTTTGAGTGGATGTAGGAAAATGTAGGCTTGCTTCCCTGATAAAATACTGAGGGATCTATTTCTGTAAAAAACTTTAGTGTGACATTTTGTATAGGACTGCTTACTTTTGATTGCTGTACAGAATTCAGTCTTAGGTGTCTCCTCAACTTCATAGCATTATAGAATAGTTTGAGTTGGAAGAGACCTTAAGGATCATCTAGTTCCAACCACCTGCTGTGGGCAAGGACACTTTCTACTAGATCAGGTTGCTCAGTGCTTCATCCAGCCTAGCCTTGAACACTTCCAGGGATAGAGCATCCTCAGTTTCTCTGGGCAACCAGTGCCTCACCACCCTTGCAGTAAAGAATGTCTTTCTAATACCTAATCTAAAGCTATGCTCTTTCCATTTGAAGCCACTCTCTCTTGTCCTGTCACTACATGTGACTTGTCTGTCACTTCCAGCTTCCATCTGGAAGACTGGATTATCCTGGTCAGTCTTCCCCACAGCGTTTTCTCTGTTGTTGGCTAGCTCAGAGAAACAAATGCATTTACCTGGACCTTCAATTTTATCTTTCCATGCCATTCAGTGCTATCTTTGTGAACAGTCCTGTAAAATGCAAATTTGCTGTTGGTAGCTCTAAGTGACACTAGAGAGAAGTTCCTTTAAATTCTACTCTACTGCTTGAAGCCACTTCTCCTGCTATCTTTGTGTATTTTGTGCTCATAGTGGTGTAATTAACTTGCATAGCAAATTAAAGAAGTATTTTTTCTCTAACTCAAAATTCTACTGTGTCCTTTACCTCACTCCTAATTCTCACCTAAATTATTTATTATGGTGTGTATTGTTTTTCATCAGCTTTCTCAAGAGATAACCATTATACAAGCTTCTCATTTCTGGCTTGGTTTTCTCTTAGAGGCTAAATGTGGCATGCATGTGTAAGTGGAAATGGATTTAGGAATGGAAATGTTTGGACAATGCAATTTCTTTTCATGCCTGTCTTCCTCCTCCACTCTCAAACATGTAAGATTTGCTTGTCAAGGCACCCCACTACATGATAGTACTATTTCTTTTTGTAAGGTGGTTGCAAAGGCTGCAAAGTTGGGAGAAATTCAATGGCAGCCAGTTTTGCTAGACCAAACAATGTGCAAAGGGAAATTTTTCCCAACATCTGGCAAAAATGCCTGAGACTGATCTTTATGTACAGCAGGAATGGGTTTGGAATAACAACTCAAACTCCATTCAGTTCCAGGAAAGGTTGGCTGAGCCAATGTTTTACAAGCCACCTTCTATGTCATGCTGCATGCATTTGGGCTGAGTATCGTGTTAGTATGTCTATTTTTTTTTTTTTTTTGGTGTATTTTAAGTTCTACAGTCCATTTATTTCATGGTGTGTGGGGAGGTGGGGATGCTGGTGATTACTAAAAGTGAAGTATGGTAAAGTATTGATGCGAGATTATAAAATGGAGCCTTGAGGAGGGATGCAAATCAGGCAGCCATGGTTTCATTGTCATTTTAACACAAGATTGCCACTCTACCTTCTGCCTGTATTTCCAACAAGAAAGAGGAGAGAGAAGAAGACAGCAGTAAAATCCAGAGAAACAGCACAAATCCATAGCAATTGTTTATATTGTTGTAATGGAACATATTGTTGAAAGCATTAAATGGCATAAGGAAGAGTTGTGGGTGTGGAGGGGTTTTTTAAGTTTGCTTTGATCTAAACAATTTGGTGTACATTCACAAAATTTACGAGTTTATAAATATTTAAATAAAATTTTTGTTGTGGGTTATCTAGACCAATGTAATGTCTTTTTCATTGCTAAATAAGGCTTCCAATTTATTAATTTGAGCATGCTACCTGCTCAGGTGCTTTCCCAGTTAGCTTATTCTAGATGGCTTGAGATGTTTAAGCAAAGTTTTCTTTTTTACTTTCATAGTAGCTGAGTGAAATCTGCATTGACAGCAAAGACTGTCAGGAAAATATTTACTGCTTTTAGGATCAATGGCTAGCCAAGCTAATGGAAATTAGCTACAGCAAAACCCAGTGAAGATTCATTGCTTGTCTAAACTCTGTCTGTCATAAACTGCTCCTTTATACCTTATAAATGACTAAGGGCTTTTATGGTCTATACTACATTTAACTTGCCTTGTTTAATGTGCAGCACTTCTGCAAAAGGTGATATACTTTATGTGACAGTTTAATTTTTTTTTTTTTAGTAACTCCATTAAAAAAAAAGGTAGCAGAGATTTTTTTAGCTATTTGTTGTTTTCATTGTACTGCTTTGAGTTGTAAAACAGGCAAACTTTAGAAACTTAACAAGTCTGACCCATTACCTTGATGGAAAATGCATTTAAACACCAGCTGTCTGATGGGTTGTCCATCTCCAATTCTTTGTACTGCTTTAGCAGAGGAGTTTTTTACCTTTCTTAATTAAAACTGTTTTTCCTTAGAGTTGACAAATAAGTTTGATAGACAAAAGGAGAGCGAAAGGTAGATCTGATGATAGAAAATGCCCTATTTGAGCTGCAGCTTAATTCGAGCTACTATGATCATAACTTGTCCTTATTTAAACTTTGTTGCTAACATGGATTTCACAGCAAGATTTCAAATGTTTTCTTTCTGTGCCTACACTTATACATTCTGAAAAGGCATACATTTTTCATGTGTGGGACTGTACATTCAAAGCATGCCTTTCAGGAAGAGACAAACTTAAGCTGTCCTCCATGTGTGTGTGAACAGAAGGCAAATGTATTGGAAGTCCTTGGATAGCTTTGGAGATATGAAATATTAGAAAGGGAAAAAGTTCTTTCACTAATTCAGTTGTCTGTGTCTGAATATTTAGATAATTGTTGTATTCTCTATCTCTCTCCTATCATGTCCTAGTTTTCATGCAGAATTTTTAGAGAAAAATCTGAGTGTTTTCATACATGACTATTTTTCATAGCATTGTGTGGAAGATTGGCTATTGCTCTATTGTACATACTGACTGATACAGAGCACTTGTCCTTAAACCTTATCTGTTCCTATTTTTGTGCTGACTCAGACTGACTCATATACTAGATATAGTTCTGACCAAGGCTAACGTTCAATTTCCCAGAGATTACTTTGCAGTAATATGTTGAAATTGTATTTCTATGCCTGTAACTGTCATTTATTTGAAGATTTGTCTCTATAATCTAGCAGTTGAAACATTTGTTTTGATGCTTACAGAAGGAGCAATTTCATTGTCTAGAAATGTATTTTTAGGTGTATTTTGAGCATGTGTTTATGTTGTTTCAGGTATCTGAGCATGAATTCTGGTCTGCCTGTAGCTATTAAAGATTAATTACTGCTTCTTTTTTTTTGTTGTTGTTTTTTTTTTTGGATACTGCAGTCACAAGACTTTATTTTATGCAATGTCACCATTTATGAGATGAAGGCTGAACAGTCCAAGATATTTCCCTTATTTTCCATGCCCTGGAAAATGGTCATCACTTCACACAAAGCATTCAATCTTTTGTAAATTCAAGCACTATGTTCAGAGGCTTTCAGCCTGGGGCCACAATGTACAGGATATTTTTCCTTGTGTAGTAATGAGACAATATTTCTTGGTGAAGTGCTGTAATGTTCTTCAGATTTTCCTCTAGCACCTGAATAATGGAGGAGGCTAAAACTTCCTCATTCTTCTTTTACCATCTTCTTGCAGTCTCCATGCTGAACTCATGCCTCAGGTGATAATGCAAAATACAGATTCAGAATATCTGAATAATTATATATATAACTATGCTTCTTGAACATGAGCAGTAACATTTGCACTGAAGAGAAAATTTGAGATTGCATGTATCTGTGAACCCTTTTTTATAGGTATCTATTTGTTAAGAGTCATTGCTATAACCAGATCTAATCTGATTCTAGAATCTTTCAATGATGTCTTATTAATCAACCAGAGGATTAATGGCTTCTGAAGTTGTTTAATGCTGTTTGCTGTATACTGAAGTGTTTTATTCTATATTGGGTCCTACTGGAAGTATCACCTACTCTAGAAGCATGTTGCTACTGTTCACATCTGTCACCAAAAATTCATCAAGGAGCACATTTTGTAAAATAGGAATTAATCCACTGAATGTGTAGAGCTGTGTCCCCTTCTGGGCTCCTCACACCAGAGACATGAACATGCTGGAGTGGGTCCAGCCAGGGGACTGATAGTAAAGGCACAGAAACCTCTGCTGTAAGAGGAGAAGCTGAGAGAGCTGGGTCTGTTCATCTTGGAGGAGAGAAGGTTCAGGGGAATCTTATCCATGTGTATAAATACCCAACTACAGGCTTTTCTAAGTGATATTCAGTGATAGGACAAAAGACAGGGGGCACAGACTGAAATTCAATTTAAACATAAAAAAATACATTTAAACACACACAAAAAAATCTCTTCTATTGTGAGGGGTTGCCCAGCAAGGTTGGGCAGTCTACATCACTGGGAGTATTCAAAACCCAAACAGATACCGCCTGAGCAACCTTCTCTAGCTGACCCTGCTTTGATCCTTCAGAGGTCACTTCCAGCCATAACTGTGATTCAAAACTGCTTTTAATCAGGAAGCCTTACTCCAGCTTGAATGACAGCGGTGAGAGGTTTTTTTAGATATTTAAAATCTTTGGGATCTGTTCCATAAGGATTTGAACTTCTGTATGAAAGTTGTTTGTTGTAATGGCAATGTCTTTTTCTAATGCTGCTTGAAAATTTGTAGGGATTGTTAACTTCATCTGCACCTTTTGTTTTGCTCCTCAGGAACGTTTCTTCTCGCCAAGATTTCGTCGTCGACTTCATGCTGTCCTAGCATCTGTTAGCACTTCAATGCTGATTTTATCAAATCTAATATTTCTTGGAGGAAATCAAATTGGAAAAATCTACTGGAACAGGATCTTTATGGAAGGCAAGTTTATTTTTATGTGCTTTCTAGATAAAAGAATGTTCCAAATGTTACCTTGGGTGGGCTAAGCCAGGTTTTTCTCCCAGTGCACTAACTGGGAGTTAATTTTTTTCTGGTCAAAACTATCAAAAATCTGAGAAAATTCAAATAACTCTGCAGGCTGCATGACTACAAAGAAACATTGCCTTTCTCCTATTCAAGTCTAGAAGGAGGGCTGTCAGGCTTCTTTGACAAGTGAAATCACTGAAGATCAAGTAATAAATGTGTGACAAGTTACCAAGTTGATTTTTTTCCCCACTCTGCATTTCACACACATCAGTAGGATAGGCGTACTAAAGCCAACCCCACAGATTCTCTGGATGGCTAGTGAGTAAGATCTGCAAAATACAGCATTAATTGAGCACTTAATGGATTTTTTTTTTGTAGTGAATGTGATTTCGGGCTGGGGACCTGCTGACAAGTGTGGGGACAGGGGAACTTGGGTGACAATGTCAGCCTTGGTGCTGCTGAATAAGCAGCATGGGATGTTGTGCTGTGAGCTGACTCAGGAGACAATTTTTTTGCCAGAGGTCGGTGTAAGTAGGACCAATTTTCTTTTTAGGTTCTTACTGCTGCCAGTCAAATGAAGGTCTTGTAGAGGAATATTTCTTCCTCCTGAGGGAAGTACTAATAGGTTTCTCTGCCTAGAAGTGGTCTCTTAAAAAGACCACCACTGTCTATTGCAGTGTTTTCTCCTCTTGTTCCTTTCAATGGCTTAGAAATCAGCTCTAGAGTTCCAAGATTCTACTTAAGCATCCCAAAATAGTGAAACTCTTAAAGAGTAAGTTATGTACATGAGTGGAACAATTTATCTTCTAAACTAAAGGAAAAGAAAAAATTTAAAGAACTTGAAGAAAGGAACATTTTTAGCATGAAATATAGTGAAACTTTTTGTTAATACTGGGCAGGAAAGAGGGCGTACTAGTTTTTGCTCTTTAAAGCACAACATACTTGTGCTCTGTTTCTTTTTTTTAGATAGGCTTTGTTTTCTCTGAAATTGTTTCCTTCCAGGTAGTTGCCTAGTAGTAGAAAATAAGCTGAGAGAAAAGGTTCACAGTAAATTTAGTCATATCTTCTTATTTATTAAAAGAAAAAAAAAGACTAATGAAGTTGTCTATCTCAGGCTTATATCTCCATACAAAATATTTCCATAATGCAATCTGTATATTATATGAGAATATATATCAAGAAAGTATCCCTTTTTTGTTAGAAGGGTTAGTGGTTATGCAGGGGTTTGCAACTGATGAAGGACAATACTTTATCAAGTATAACCATATTTAGTTAAAATAGAATAAATTGTTGATTGTTTTTCTAGTTTTGTTTTTTTTTCCTTGGGGAGGGGGTAGTTTTTTGATCTATTCCTCCTGCACTTGAATACATAGAGTTACTTAAGGATTAGGTACCAGTCATCTAAGACAGGAATAGGAAATTAGTTTAGTCATTTGCATCTTTGTTTCCATTATGTTTTAATCAAATTAACTTTATTTTTAGAACATGAAAGCTTTTGCTTAGTGCAGCTCATACTCCACTAGTAGAAATCTCAGTGTTTATCTTTGCAAGCTTTGTATGCCTCTATTATTTGATGACTCAGATGCCTGTGAGTATGTTGTTTAACTGCACTGTTGTTCTGACAAGTCCCATGTACAGGCTGAAACATCCACGAAAATTTTATTGCATCTACACACTTGATCCATTGTGGTTTTCTTACTGTGGAACAAATGGGATGAACTCTGGTATCAGTCTAGGCTAGGGATGAACACATCAAGAATAGATCTGCAGTGAGAGACTTGGGGGTGCTGGTGGATGAAAAGCTGGACATGACCCAGCAATGTTCACTGGCAGCCCAGACAGCCAAATGTGTTTTGGGCTACATCAGAAAGAGCCTGGGCAGCCAAAGACCAAGGAAGGGGATTCTGCCTCTCTGCTCCCCTCTGCTGAGACCCCTCCTGCAGTGCTGTGTCCAGCTCTGGGGCCTCCAGCACAGGAAGGACATGGACCTGTTGAAGCAGGTCCACAAAATTGAGCAGAAGGACGGAGCGCCTTTCCTGTGAGGAAAGGCTGAGAGAGTTGGGATTGTTCAGCCTGGAGAAGAGAAGGCTTTGGGGTGACCTAATTGTGGCCTTCCAGTACCTTAAGGGAGCCTACAAGAAATATGGAAAGGGACTTTTTACAAGAGCATGTAGTGACAGGACAAGAGGGAATGGCTTCAAACTGAAAGAGGATAAGTTTGGATTAGATACTAGAAAGAAATACTTCCCTGTAAATGTGGAACAGGTTGTCCAGAGAAGGTGTGGATGCCCTGATCCCTGGAAGTGTCCAAAGTCAGACTGGATAGATCTCTGAGCAACCTGGGAAGAGTCCCTGCCCATGGCAAGGGGCTGGAACTGGATGGTCTTTAAGGTCCCTTACAACCCAGGCCATTCAATGATTCTATGATTGAAGGCCAGTCAGGAGGACTATTCAAATCTTCCAGAAGGACTATTCAAATCTTCTAGTTCCAGAAGGACTATTCAAATCTCGGTGTTCAGTTTCAACTAGATTTAAGTGCTAGTCTGTAAGAGAGACAACAAAAATCTATGTTTGGAGTGTGCAATGCTAAAAGCTAAAGTTAAATAAATTTGTTTGTAGTCTGCACTGTTCTGGTAAATCCAATTCATCAATATTTACAGACTGAACTAAACACTACAAATATGTACTCTTTGATCATTCCTTTGTCAGTCCAAGAACAGATGAGATGATCTAGCTATCTGGCTTGAACTCAAGCTGTTGTCTTCACCTTTATAAAAAATTCAGTTGGGGTATGCTTGACTTGTTAGAGCTAAGGGTAGTGGTGGTGGGTGGGTGTTCTGTGTGGCAGGAGGGTATTTGTTTGGATTTTTATCTTTGTGCTTTATTTCTGGTGTGATGCAAGCAATATAAAGTTCCCAAGAATGAAGATTTTCTTTAGTGCATTATGATTCTGGAGAGCTTTGATTAGAACAGATATTGATAGTCTGTCATTGACTTGTGGAGAATAGTCTAGAAATCTGGCAGAGGACCCCCCAGAGCTCTTTTGTACATAATACCCAAATCTTTGTCCTAGATAAAGCAATGTTACAATGTCCAGTACATTACTGAGATCTGCTAAATATGTATCTAGTTGCTTTGAGTCAATAATTGTTAACTTTGGGTCAAGAAGAAAGAAGATATCCTGTGAATTTCAGGTGTAAAGTATTAGAAACAATATTCTCTGTTTAAAAGCTTTTTGATCTCTTTGAAATTTGCCTTGGTTTAGGAAACCTAAGCAGGGTTCCCTAAGCACCCCTCTAAAACCAGAGGGTAGACATTGGCATTGGGAGCACATTACATTCTCAGGAACCCACCAGCAGGACTTGAGATTGGTTGACTGAGGTGTCAGAAGGCTGTGCAGCACTAGTGTGACATAAAATCCCTCTGAGTTCAGGAACAGAGAGATGTGGAAACAAAACCTCCCACCTGTGCCCTATCAGCTGCAAAGAGTAGTCAGCTCCTTTCCTTTGTTCAAATCCCACAGAATTATGTCTATAAAGATCTGTACATGTATGAGTAGGGAAAAAATAGGAGAAGAGATGCGTGCTTCAGTTTGTAAATATAATTGGCATTGCTAGGTCACTAAAAAGTGGTCAAGAACATATATGCTAAAGTCCAGCAATAAAATGCACCTCAGACAGAAATCAGATCTGCAGGTTTAGGTGCAACGTAAGATGTTGTGTGGCATTTGCAGGTCTGGCAAGTAAATGAACCTCAGAATATCAGTATTGTAAGGCCCTAAATGCCCAGCCTACAGCACTTCATAGTCAGAAATCAGCAGTTCTGTTGTATAACACCGAAAAACAGAACACTGAGGGGCAGCTTCCTGCTAGCATGTGTGTGCCAGTGATGCAAATTTAAACCAACAAGCTCTTAAAAGAAAGTTTTATTGAAGTTTAAGATGTACAAAATGCACTTCTAGTTTTGCTCTGTGGTTACTGGAGAGGATCTATTCTATTCTTTTGCAAAGACTGAGTATTGTCAAAAATCTCTACAGTTTTTGGAGAGTGGGGAAGAAAAGGTGGATATGAAAGCACCTAAACCTCAGGGCCAGCACAGTCATATTGAGGAGAACCGTGCAAGTGGGGATACCTTTGTTATCAAAGGTTTGTGAATTGCATTTTAGGAACAGGATTTAGATGAAGTTTCCTAGGATTCTTATTTGGCTGATACCTGTTTTGAAATGTTTTGGCAGTGCTTTCCACAGTTCCCATTCCACAAACAAGGGGAGTTGATATCTGAGCACATATTCTTTAATATTTATTTTGTTTCTTCTTGTGAAAAATAAATTAAATTTATCTGGCTTTAAAAATATTTTTGTGCATCTTTAAAATCACTGGTGTCAAAATTATGAGAGCAGAGGTCTAGGTATCTTATGTGTATGAAGATTTGTTCTGAATTTTGTTCTGAAAATTCTCTCTATTCTTTCTGTTCAGACCCAGCATTAGTACTTGTTTCTAAAATATAATTTGGCCCTTTTATTTACAAAGAAAAAAGTTCCTATAGCAAGCACTTACTTTGATCTTTCTTTAGTAAGAATTTTCTCATGAGGGACAGTGTCTAATAAGAAAGTAGGAGAAACATCTTCTATGTAACAAACCTTTTTTAATTCTGTATTCTCCATAGAGAATAATTAATGCTTCACTTCAAAATGAGCTGCTCCAAGAAGAAGGGTTTTCTTTGGAAGGGCTCACTCCTACAACCAGCACTGTGCAGTGCTTTTGGTTAAAAGACTGAAATATTTTATCAAGCATGGATGAAGGCATTAGGCTGGGAGGGGACATAAGTGTATTAGGTGATAAAAGTCTAAAATTCTCCCTGGTCTTTTTCTGGTTTACAAGGAACAGAGTCCAGATCAATGAGGAAAGCATACAGTGCATTTCAGGTGCATTTTACTTCGAACAGCTGTCTGAAAA